TCACATTAAAATTAATATTTTACCTGACCTTTAAAAATATATACCGAATTCTCTCTCTCTCTCTCTCTCGTATTGAGAATACAATAAAGAATTTATTATGTAATTTAGAGGTCGTTATTCTTCAATAAACTTTTTTTTGTCATTAAACTTATTAACAGATTTTTAACCACATTTTATGCCATATATTCTTAACAAATATTGTTTATTAACAAAAATATTTGAGAGAGAGAGAGAGAGAGAGAGAGAGAGAGAGAGAGAGAATTCGGTATATATTTTTAAAGGTCAGGTAAAATATTAATTTTAATGTGAATTTTTAAGTCAAAACATTTGAATAAAATATTTTATTCAATAGATTTGTTATCAGATATTGAATTACAAACACATGTCTTATTATTTAAATCTATTCCGTGTTTTAAAATTGAGTTTAAGTATTAAAAATGTGTATCTTTTTTACTAAAAGCCATTGAGTTTTTAGCCGATATATCGGTAATAAATACCATTGAAAATGGGGTTTATTTATAGGAAAAAAGCATTTATTTATTCACGAAAGAAGTTTTCTACACATATTTATTGCCAAAATGTTGGCTAAAAATAATTATTTAGATGTTAAAAATGTTCGTTCAAAATGTTATTATGATAAATGTTTTGCTGAAATATATTTATTATTTTTATGTTTTATTTTTAAATCGACTCCAATTTACACAAGTGTTTAGTTTCTGTATTTAATAATAAATAAATTTTTAGTGCAATTTATATTCAATGAAACAAAAAGACTGTTTATTACTGTAATTCTCGTTGTATTTAATGTGAATTGAGGCAACATTTTTAGGTTTGTATGTGTTTTAAACAAATAAGATTTAAATTGAAAAATAATTAATAATTTATTTCGTGTTTCTGTTTGTCAATTGAAAATATAATTTATTAAATGATTGCTTAAACGCTATAATTAGTGAATCAAAAATTGATTGTATAATAAATATCAATAATAAATAATCAGTTCATAATTGAAATGCATTCGTGTTTATTGTATAATTAATTAGTTTTTCCTAACATTTGATAAAAATATATTAGTTTTAATCAATTAATTGATGGGATATTTATTCACTGCAAAAGTAATGCCTGAGACGAGGGAAATGCATAAACATCTTATGGTAAACTTGAAATTTTAAATTACAAATTACTGTATGCTTTGGCGAGTCTATGGCCTAAATGTCTTGATATACATATCGTTATATATAAACACATTTATAATGATTGCAAACCTTTTTTTATTTCTTTCCTATGAATGCATTATTTAATTAAATTATAAATAAATCGGTTTTAGTTGCGCTACAAAATCCTATTGAATGTCAATTGCAATGCTATTGCATATACACATCAGTACCCATAGAAATGACATTTATATAATTAACTTATTGTTGTTATTATAATAATAGTGTTATTTCTCTATTGAATATCATTTTCAAAAAATTTAATACAAGTAATTATTTTTCAAGAATATTAATCATGTTTTGTTTTGTTCAAAAGTATAATACCATTGAGACTCAAATATACCAAACAATACTAAACAAAAAACCTAAATTCAATCACCAAATGATTATAACTTTTAAAATGGGTTTATTATTATTTTGTTTCTAATAATAATAAAAATATCGTAAATCCAATCGTATTTATTATATTGTTATTTATTGATTTGCAAAATATCAACTCAAAAAACACCAGTAAGTCATACACCGGGGGACTAGTCTTGAAATCAAAATTTTCAATCAAATCCTTGAGAACCAGTAATAGTAATAATAATGATATTAATAATGGATAGCATTTTTATGTATTACTTTATAAGCAATAACTTATAACTTATTTTTAAAAATAAAGTTTTGAACTTAATTTAAATTCAATATATAATACATATTACTATAACTAACTATAAAAAGGTTTGTCAAACAGAAACACAAGTCATTCCTCACAACAGTATACGTGAAGAAGAAATACATTAATGGTTTTAAATTTAAATTCCCAACAAATAGTTGCATAGACTATATTTGGGACAATCATATTGCTAGCACCTGAATGTATGGTCACGTTAAAAAACGCCCGTATAGCTTTTTGTGAATATACTTACTACTATACGTATGTAATTTATAATGTATTTATTCACTGTATATTCCGCTGATTATGTAATATTTTTTGTATTTATAAAAAGTTTTGGCATTTTTTCGCTGCAAATCAAAGATTACTATCAAATGTGCGCCAAATGTTGAAGATTGGGAAAAAAAGTGGACAACTTTTTATAACAAACTTTATTTTTGTTATAATTTTATTTTATATTGAATTACTTTTTTGATGTTTTTGTGTTCACTTGTTGTGTGACTTCAAAGAAATGTTTTTATTATCAAACACTTTACGGATTAAATAACACATTATCGGCGGTGAAAAACAATACCCGCAATAAAATAACAACAAAACGCTATATTAATTGTCAAAATATATTTCGTTGATCTCAATAATGAATGTGCGGTACGAATGGGTTTACGATTGATAATAACGCCAATAAAAATAAGGGTTTCAATAATATTGTAATAATATTTGCATTTATATTCTTGAATATCAATACAACAGTTAAAACGAAACTTTGTTTTACTTTTTGTTGTTTCAAAAAAGTTTTTTCAACTCTCATTTTGAGTCCCCAATCAATACAATCGGTTCAGACATTCAATCGCTCGTTAAATAAAGAAAAGACATATTTCTTGTCTCAAGAAAAATGTGTGGATTTTTTTGGTTTTGTTTTTATTGACGAAAAAATTTTGTGCTCAAAATACAGTGAAATTTGTATCCATTTTAAACTGAACTGAAGGATGGAGTTGAGGGCCTTATACGACAGGAGCGATGATAATGCCTTTGCGGACACAACCAATCAGTCAGATGTGAATCGACTCAATGGACACAACGGTGTCTTTGAGGTGAAGCCGACGGCCGCCGGAATAAAGCCCGCCTGGAAGTCGTCCACCAAGATTTTCGAGCCCTATTCGGTGACCTACCGGTCCCCACAACCGGCCGATCGCTTCAATTTTGTCCTTTTTGTTGTCTTAATGCAAGCGATTGCTATGTTTTTGCCCACAAATATGTTTATTAACGCCGAAAATGTAAGTAATATTTCAAAATGTTTTCTTATGAATTAATTTCATTGAAATTTCATGTAATTTATACGAGTTTTCAAAATTATAAAAGTGTGAAATAATTTTGCTTAAAATATTAAATAACTCACGAAACTCATCGCTAATATGTTTTGAGAGCACTTAACATTATACTAACCTATTATCCTATTATTAACTAAAATTTAACTTATTACAAGTTATAATTTAAAACAATGTGTTTACTTATAAATTTACAATTTTAGATAATTTTATGAATGCTATCTCTGTTTGAATCATTAATTTAAATATGTTTTGATTGTTATTTACTAATTATAATGTTTAGAAATAGGATAAGAAATATATTCAAATAAATTTGTTTTACTGTTAGATAAGTTATTTAAATAAAAAATATTATTAATTGTTAGTTTAAATGCAAATTATAAACAATTAATGATATTTTGTTAAATGCATTCTTTATTTAATCTATAATTACTATTAAAACAATCCTTAAAATTAATATCCCATTAATAAATGCTATCATTAAATCTTAATAAATGTTTTTATGCTTAACTTTTACTATTCAACGAAAAAAGCTATTTTCTCATCAATTGTATTGCAAATTATATATTATTTTCTATTATAAATATATTCATTATAAATACATAATGTATTCAATGACTTGATTCATGATTTTCATTGAAAGTAATATGAAATAAATTAATGTTTTTGTTTTTCCTACAAATAGTTTTTCCGTGACTTCAAACTCGATTCTCCTTTTAAAGCCAATAATATAACAAATTTTACATTTAATAACAATCTTCATAATAGTATTGAAAGCAATTTATTGGTCAACAAAAGGTATCTAATATATTATTATGGCATCACTTCCAGCATGTCTTCAACGATAGCAATGATTTTCAATATTCTGTTGCCTTTGAGGTAATTGTTTGCCACAAATCACTTGTGGTTACAAATTATGATAATTATAACATAAATATAGATCACATGAATTGCATTAGAAATACAAGAATATTATTGAATACAAATAATTTCACACAAAATCCTGTATTTTTAATATCGATTTCAGTTCTGTCTGGAGTTTTACGCGAAGAATAACCATAAGTATAGTAATACAGGCGCTGGCACTCAGTCTGACCGTAATTCTGGCCCTAATAAACACCAGTGAATGCAAATCGGCGTATATTTTGCTAACATTTTTGTCGGTCATTGTATTGAACGCATCAAACGGTGTGTTTCAAAACTGTGTCCACTCTATGACCGCATTTTTGCCGCCAAACTATACGCGGGTTTTGGTGTTTGGCCTCTATTTGGGAGGGGCTTTCATGTCGGCCCTACAGATCACATGTTTGTCATCCATTCAAAGCCAGAGATCGGCTTATATTTACTATTTTGTCGCTTCTGTACTCCTATTGTTGGTCTGCTTTGACGCCTACTATGCCTCATCATTGAGTGTAAGAATTTGTATAGTTTTATAATTGTTTGAAAACTACTTATAAAACCTTTTCTCAAAAAACAATTCATTTCATATTATTACAGCGTTTTTATCGTTACTATAAAAGCAAATCAAAGACAAACTTAAGCCAAGAGTTTGACGACCGAAGCGACGATCAATCGTCAAACGACTGGTCTTTCGTTGAGATTTTAACTAAATGTTGGAAACATTATCTCAATATATATTTAGTTTGTTTGGTCTCATATACGATATACCCGTCCATTCAGTCCGACATCAGACCCGTCACTCAATCGCTCGCCGATTACATACCAAATCATTTGTGGACTCATTTTACCAGTCATTTGCTATTCAATATATCATCAGCTTTTGGATGTTTGATCACCAGATGTGCCAACACTGTCACTACAAGAGGTCCATCGCATAGCAGACTATGGGTACTGATTGTCACTCGCGTGGCATTCATACCATTTTACATATTTTGTAACTTTTCGCCCGAAACCCGCGGTTTACCCGTTATAGTGAACAGCGATTTTGTGTATTTGTTAGTGAATATGATGTTTGGCTTAACAAACGGCTATTGTCTCACATTAGCGCTATGAATGCGACCAAAGCGGCCAAACCTGACCACTCATTGGCCACCGGAATGCTAGCGGCGCTGTCCCTAATGTCGGGCCTATTGTCCGCATCCATCCTATCATTTGTTATCGTTTTATTTATCACATAATAAGTATATACTGACAATAAGATTAGTTAACAATATCTAAATAAATATATTATGTGTTAAAAACACTATAAATAAAAGTTGTAATTAATTAAAACATATATAAAATCATAGAAAAAGTTGTTTATTGTTTGAATAAAGGCTTGAATTTAGCGCTCATTGCTATAGAGATATGAAAACGAGTTTTGATTGCATTATAACAAGCATTTCGTCATTGATTTGCAATGTTTTGCTTATAATTTCCCAAAACATTAAATCTGTCACTAAATCGGATCTCAAGACCCGAAGACCTAACACTTGTTATCTCATTGTCTTCACAACTCGTACACCAATTATCACCGAAACTCTTCACTCAATCGCTGGTAATGTTTGCTATTATTTCATATGAATTATTGTTTGTTTTAAATGACATGTTTTTTATTGCAAATATTTTTGTCAACTTTTATCTCATTTTTGTCAATATTTATCTCATTTTCAGTTTATCATTGGTTATCACGTCTTGGATATTGGGATCAAATGACTGACAATTGTCGCCACTATTTGTCTGAAGTGAAGACCGGAAGCGATGTCCGCTATTATCTGTTGAGCGAGTGTTTGGACACCAAATATAAGTTATCTCTCGTGTCGGCCGACGGCTGTCTCGAGGCTGACATCGATTACGAAGAGTACCGCCGATTGAATGCCGACAACGAGACCACCGATGACTTGAACGATAAGCACAAGAAGTTGTCGGAAGCGTTGAGATTGGGCTCCAAACGAGTGTCGGCCGACACCGAGGACTACTGCTATGACTTTGCCATCAATTCCGGTGACAATACCATCGCTATATCGTTGCACGTCTTTGAGGATCAAGAGTTGATCGCCGAACAGCCGCTTCTGACCATCGCTTGTCGGCAGGTTTTGATCGCCGATCTCTTATCGCTAGTGATGTCCAAATTGGTGTCAATTATGGTCACTAAAGACCAATTGATTGCCGAACTCACGAAACAGAACCAAAGTCTTCGTGAGTTAAGCGAGAGATCTGTTAAAGATTTGGACGAATTTGTGGTGAAGAAAGAGGAAAACGATTCTTTGCTTTTCACTAAATTTGTGTCAATTCTGAACCAAAAGAAGTCCAAAATCTGTGAACTCGAAGAAGTGCTCAGAAATAAATAGTGATATGAATTGTCATAAAAACAATACAACAGTATTTATAATCAAATCTATTTTTAAAAGCCATTTAATTATATATTTAAATCCGAAACAAATTGAGTGTTCATTACATCAATAAATGAGTTGAAATAAAACAAAGACTTTATTTTTATGAAATTAATTGTAAAAACTATTAACTTATCATTTGATAACACATTGATTTATATATCTATACTGTTGTGAGTCATGGATTAGTAGCCGTCGGGGACTTCTTCCTAATGGTCAACTCAGTTGGTCTGTCTCTCACGGATTCGGTCGGACTGTCGGTCGGGTTTATAAGTATGGGTTTAGTTAAGTCGCCGATACCTCTGTATTCAAAGGCGCCCGAAACCAACGACACCATCGACAACGTGCGCGGCTTTGTGGCCGACTTTGACGGGTCGGTCACCGATGGCGGCGGCAGTACTCCGGGCGCGCTGTTTGGCGGTCGCGGCGGTGACTGAGTTTTGTGAGTGTTATTCACTTTTTTGGTGTCGATATCTCTTTGTTTGTGGCATTTCTTTATCACACATATTATTACAACCAATACAACCACTATTAGCGTCACTATAACCGCGATTATCAACACATTTCTATTAAACCCAATTCCGGACTCTTTGCCCGGTGTCTGATCCGCCGATGTATTGCCCGCAGAATACACTATCAGTAGTATCTGTCAAATGGTTTGTTTAGATTGTAATTAAAGTTATTGTTTAATAAATCAATGAATAATCAATAATATCTCACGCATTGAAACGATGGCAATGATAGTGAAGGCATGTATTCAATGGTTTCAGATGTAATCACAATTGTCTTCTCTGTAAACGTATTGAAAATATAATTATCAATGCCTTGTAATGCCTTAAGTCTTGTATTCAATTCACATAATTATCACAATTAAAACAAAATAAATATCGATTTAAAATTTAAATTCAAAAATAAATATAACAATTGCACGTAATTCTGGTTTAACCTTATAAAACCACGTAAACCTTATAAAAATAAATTGATTACAAATTTAAAAGTAAATTTAAAACTAATTTAATAAAATCATGATTTGACATTACTTTTAAATTGTTGTATTTATAAAACGGATTTAAAAAATAAAATTCAAATTACAAAACAATCAAAAGTAAAATCAAACGGAAAAAGTCCCCAAAAGTAAAAGTCAGAAACAAAGGACAAGAAAAGTCCTCCGCAGACAAAGACAGATATTCTTGAGGTTTAGTAGTTAAAGACAAATCAAACACAAGACATGTCGGGCAGAAGAACCCCAGGAAGAAGTTCCAGCAGTGATGACGACGACGACAACCGGATTGGTTTTTTGGGGGACTTTTCTAACCGTCCGACCGGTCAGAGCGGCAGTCGTGGGCCGGCGTGGGGTGCGGGCGGCGGCTCTGCACCTCCACAGTACAGTACACCTCAGGGCGCGTCCCGACCGCAGAGCTTCACTCCCAGCCCCAGACGGCGAACCCAGTCGTTGGCCGGTTCTCCGTACCAAACGCCCCAACCATACGTAGCCCCGCCACCCGTTGAGGACGAGTTCGGAGGCTTTGATTGGGTGCATCCGAACTACGACCATATCATGGAGAACCAGCCCATCGCTGGAGAGGATTGGGACATTGACCAGGGATCTGATCCGGGCTATTTCCACTCACCCGGCTTGTCTCCCGTCCCCCGAACACCTTCCACTCCTGGAGTTCAGTGGACTCCCAGCGGCTATCATCCGGAACTCGCACCCTATCGAACGCCGGGGGTGTCTCCCGTCGCCTCCAACCCCGGTTCGATCCAGTCGTGGCAATTGCAGTCTCCACGCGACTGGCAATCGCCCCCTCCCGGTGTCCCGCCGTCGCCCACCTATCTTCCGTCGGCATTCCAGGGGACTCCTCTTCCGCGCCCCCAACGGTCCTCCTCCGCGCCCCCCTTCGCGGCGCCCACTCCTACATCTCGTTGGGGTCGAGGCCGCGGGCGGGCGATGGTTGCGCCGCGACGACTGGATTTTGATGCCGCGACACCAGTTGGAAGTCCGCTCGGAAGCCCTTCGCGGATGAGGTCAGGCAGCGGCTCATCGTTGACGGGCGGCGCCGCCGGTGGCAGCGGTGAACGCACCGATTGGTTGACCGCAACGACTCCCGAACAACGCCGACAACAGTTTCGTCAGTTGCACCAGAATTGGGAGTCAGGTTCGCCCGGAGGCCCAGTCAGGCCGTCGCGTTCGTCCCGTCTGTCCCGACCTCCCGGACCCCAACGGCAAGTGAGGCGACGCTCGTTCAGAAACACGTTATACCGCTTCAATCAACCAAACTTCGACCAAACAGACAGTGATTCCGACGGCGATTAGTGTTCCGGTACTTCCAAGAGTGAGAGAGAGAGCACCCATTCCTCTGCAGTACCACATGTGACAAACAAAGAATAGTTGTTTCTAATCTAAACCAAAGAGTCTTTTAAGAAATAAATAGTAATTTATTTGTCGTAAAAAGCATTGAATGATTAGTTCTTGATTTGAAACTCAATTATAATTAATGATTATATTTTGCGATAAAAATATTGAAATAAATGTACAGAAAATATAGTTTTAGTGATGAAAAGAGAAAGACAACAGAAATAAGGATTTAATTTAAATTTTATTTTATTGATAAAAATTTTGTTTCAAACAAAACAATTAGAAAACAATTTAGCAAAAAAACTTAAAAACAAATTCAAAGCGAATTTTATTGTTATTATAGTCGAAACAAAACAAAAGTCAATTCAAACCACAAAAAGGCAGAGAAAATGTCTTACGACGGGAACAGACAGAGTGGTAGTCGAAGACCGCAGGCATACTATATGGGCGCTGCCTTAGGGAAGGGCCGCCGCGGATCATACAACGTGTCCGCACAGCCGCCGCCACCCGAGCTATACCGGCGACGAACCGACGCCGAAATGTTTGGCGTCCAGAGTTGGCGACCGCCGACATCGCGAGCATCGATGGCCACAACTCCGACGTCGGTTTGGACGCATCCCAACCCTCCGTCCACTTCCAGTCCGGCCCCCAATTGGGGTACAACTCAGACGGGCGTTCAACCACTGGCCAGACTGCCAGTCCGTCCTATCGGTCCTCTCGGGCGACGTGTGCCGACTCGTGGTCGCCGACAGCCGATGCCCTCCACCACTGTCTACGACGACGAAGTGTTCCTTCCGAGTCCACCCGATTCGCCAATAAGCAGACGTCGATCACCACTGCCTTCGGTGGCCGAAGAAGAAGAGGTGGACGAGTTTGATCTGCCTGTCCCTCCCTATTGGTCAGATTCCACTCGTCAGAGATATCAAAGAGAACGGACAGCCATTCCCAGCGAATGGCGCCAAAGTGGGGGTGGTTTCGGTGCGGACAACACCGGTAGGTATGCACCGCAGAGTTCGGGTGCGAGCGATGAGGAGTTGACACAAATGAATGAACGCTTGAATCGATTGAGAAACGGAACCCCTCAGAGACGGGTCGCCCCAATGCGGGGTCGAGTCAGACAACAGGTGTTGGATTGGGAGGCGGGAAATGTGATCCATTCGGACCCCACTTTTGGTCGTACGCCGTCGGGTCCGCCACCCCTTCCCGGGCGGTATCGAAGTGTACTCAACCACTGGAGGAGTCGGGAGGAGCAGCAGCAGCACCATGGTCGTTTTTAAGATCATTTATAGGGTGACCAACAGTTCCCATTACTTTTGTTTAGCATTTGATTCAAAGAATTTATTATCAATACATATGTGTCACTAAAACATAGCTCTTTATTTGATGTTTTAGTAAATTGTTTCTCACGATAACAATGAATGGAAATAAGATTTTTTAATACAAAATTAGTTCAATTAAAGTAATTATAAAAAGTGTTGAACTTGACATCTATGAGAGCTACCCCATGGCTATGAAAGCATAGACATAATCCCATGGCATCCCATGTTATTTAACATGGAGTGGGGCGTGGAGTAGGATCGAGCTCCTATAAACCACATTCTTCATTCTGAAGTGTGGATATGCAATAAGTGCAGATTTAAATTAGCACTATTTATACTGTAAGAAAAAGCTGCATTGCGTATAAACTGGGAGAATATTATCCAAAATTTCAATTAAACCATGACAATTTAATTAAGCATATAATTTATAATTATGTAAGTTTACAAATTTTTTAATCTAACAATTTATGAGGCGCTAATTGTTTTTTTCATGGCGCGCATAACTAAAAACGGGTCGCGCGTAACTGGGAAAGGGTTGCGCGTAACTAGGAATATGTCGCGCGTAACTGGGAACGGGTCGCGCGTAACTGGGAACGGGTCGCGCGTAACTGGGAAAGAGTCGCGCGTAACTGGGAAAGGGTCACGCATAACTGGGAAAGGGTCGCGCGTAACTGGGAAAGGGTCGCGCGTAACTGGGAAAGAGTCGCGCGTAACTGGGAATGTTGTATAATGCACGAAAATATTGTATAAAAAGTGCGGCTCTAAGACACTTTTTCCCCATTGACCTAATTTCGAAAAACGAATTTCGAAACTGTGAGGTCAAAGTCTGTCAATATTTTTGCTAAACATTACATGATGTGACGTATATAACCGATGAAATTGTTAAAGGATTTTGGTACCCGTAAAGCCATAATCCAACCCAATAATTATTTCGGGCGATATTTTTAAAAATGTTTGGTTTTTAAAGCAATTTCTCTGTTTGTGTGGAAGTATTGTTGGGTTTATGTCGAATGCAAACAATTATATTACCGGTAATTATTGACACAATTTTGGTTTTATCACTAATTTTATTGTTGTTATGAATATATTTTCTGTTTTTGTGAACAATTTTACCGTTATTTAGCCATTGATTTTACATTATCTCATTGTTTTCACCGATTCTGTCGTGTTTTATAACAATTAGTTTCGGTTCCCAAACAATGAGTATTAATGTCGTCGATATGTGTAATCATGTAATCCATGTCCTCTCGGGTCACGACTTGCGGACAAAAGCGTGACTTAATTAGCCATCGGTTAAAATAGTTGACCACTTCGTTGACGATTGTTTCCGAGCGCTGATCGACAATGAGATGGGCGTAAGAGTCGACTGTCAGCGGCTGGACGTCACCCAACTGTTCCACCCTTTCCTTCAGAAAGAGATCCGTTTCGGGAATTCCCGAATTATCTCTACTCTACTAATTAGTAATTACTTTTAATTTTATGCAAAAATACGTTATTCTAAAGTTTATAAAAGTTTTGTTTTTAACCAAAACTTATTAAAAATTTTCTCGTGATTTTGGATTAAAAATCAAATAATACAAATTGTTGAGCACTTGATCCGCGCCATCGATGTATTCAAAAGATTTTGCCAGCGATTCGTAGACTTTATAATTAACTATAGATAAACTAACTATAGATTTCTTGAGATCATGTTTTTGAACGGCGACCACTAATTTGGCAAACAATGTCCTCAACCGGTGCTGACTGTGAAGTATCTGTGAAATGGTCTGAACGGCGCTGTCATCACATTTGCACATCAATTTGATTAGGTTTTCCATTTTAATCATCGGTTCAGCCTTTATGTCACATAAATTGACGTTAAATACTAATTCAATGAGTCCTCTGAAAGCAAATTACAAACATTTATTAATTCAATATTAAACTAATGAAAGAATATTGTATTTTAAACTTATTATCATTTACTAAAACTATAAAAATAAAATATAAAATAATAAAAACAAATCTATTTAAACATTCTATATTTTCTGTTAATAAACGAATTGTGATTTGAATTGTAAAATATAATTAAATGTAAAACATGTTAATTGAAAGAAAGCATACTCTTCTTCCTCATCATCAATGAGTGGATATCTGAGAAAACAAGCCGTCGATAACTTATAGACAAAGAATTGCTCTGTTTTTGTATACAATTTGTTAATTGTATGAAAAACATTGGAAAGCGAGACGAGTGTCCGCTCGCGTACGGGAAGCTCGCGGTCACCAATTCTGGCCACAAAATGTCTCATTAGATTGTGATTCAGAATATTCTGCGATCGGTGGCAGTGATCCACAACTGACACAGACTCGCAGCGAATCAATTCCTCCACATCTCGAAGACTTCGGATTAGATTTGACACCAAATCAGACACAATCTGTTCGTCAATCTGTGTCTCCAATAAGACATCAATCGCTTGAATGCAAACGATTCTCACATTGGGTTCGGTGTCCGACAAAAGCCCCTCAAATTCACGCCAAATACCAGACATTCTTTCGGTGAATAACTCTTTGCAGACATTGATTGTCGGCAAAGATTTCTTGAGAGAAAACAGTGACCGAAATATAAGTGCCATTCGGTAGCGACGAGTGGCCATCGGATCCGTCATTTCCCGCAAAACAATCCATTGATATTCTTCGCACAAATTGATAAAGAATGAGGACATGAATGACACGGCGTTTGCGTCACTGAATATGAGGTTTTCTTCGGGCACCGGATTCGGCAAAAAAAACACATAATTATAGCATTTATAGTGAAGTTTATAACCGATTGGTTTTGATCACTGATTAATAGATTTAAATATCGCTTATAAACCAATGGTTTCTCCTATTGTTTGATAATAAATGAATTTTACTTTTAATTACTATAAGAAACGCGAGAATTATAACAAAAACTTTTAATAACTTTCATTTTAAAATCATTTCATTTAATATGAATTCAATGAATAAAATTACTCATTATTTGATTGTATTATAGTTAACGTGAATTAAAAAATTACAATTAAATATACCATTTAAACAGAAATTGTGTTCAAAAGGCAGTTAATGTTTAACAGATTTTTATCATAATTTGTAATAAATAATAGAATCTCAAGACTTGTTGTCAGTATTATGGGTGACATCAATGATATCATTGAAATGATGAGTGAATTAAGTATTAGCACTGATAACAACCAACGAGTGGCTGATTTCCTGATTCCCGAAATTCAACGCAATATTGACTCAATTGTCTCTTCATTTGAAATGTTGAGACGAAATGTCGGTCTATTGTCGGTATGTATTGAGTAGTGTTTTGCATAACATTTAACCACTAATCTCTGTGTGGGATCAGCCCGTCATCACTGGTAATGCCCAATACAATGATAGGGTTAATATGATTGGCAGAGAGTGTCTGGTGTTGAGGGAACGACTGACGGGCGCTGCTGTGGGACAGCCGTTGCCGCCAATGGGTAATTGGTTTGAAACTACAGTATATGTAAAACACTTATCAATCATACATTCATACCATAGCTATTGAGAATAATGGGGTCAATGAAATCGTTAATCCGCCAATCATTGTAAACGAGTTTAGTGTCAAACAGACCACTCATTCCTATACTTACTTTAATACTAATTACAAGAATATTCTGTTACAGACCTCCCATGCAATTGAATGCCATTGAAACCAATGAATCGCTTCGTATGAATAATCAGAGGACTACTGATACGTGTGTTGTGTGCTCACGGGTTAACGGGTTCTGGCGTGAAGAGTGTCAAAGTTTTTGTTGTGATAACTGCCGAAAGTTTTACCACAACAACAAAAATAAATCCCTTGATTGTAAAGGTGGTGACGAGAGATGTCTTGTGGTCTACACCGACCGCCAGATGTGTCCGCTCTGTCGCTTCAAGAAGTGCAGAGATGTGTTTCGCTAGTATTCTTCCGCAATCCGTTTTTAAGATCATTTATAGGGTGACCAACAGTTCCCATGACTTTTATCTAGCATTTGATTCAAAGAATTTATTATCAATAAATATGTGTCACTAAAAGTTAGCTTTTTATTTAATGTTAATGTCATTGCTTTTCTATATTTATGTTTAAAATGCATTCAAACAAAAGCATTGCGTTTAATAGCAATTAAGTAAATGAAAGGGGAGTTTACAATACAAACCACAAAAACGACTTTCAATCATAATATTAGCGCATAATTTCATTAAACTAATTATTCGCACAAAATATGAGTTCAAATGCTTTCACAAAATTATTGATTACAAAATATTTTACGATTAGTGTCGACAACATATAAATGAATAAATAGTAATATTTTTGTATAAAAAATTAGCTTTATTTTTGTTCGCACTTAAAATGGGCTCAAAACTGGCCAAATTGGCGTCCGAGTCGGGAGTGCCCGGACTGTCACACGTGTACAGCACACGGGGTGTACGAAAGGGCGTTTGGGCGCTGGTATTCATACTGTTTGTGAGCCTAACGATCCGGGATTTGATCGATATGTTGAAAGATTACACACAATTCCCGGTGTCTGTGAGCGTACGGGTGACCGACTCGCGAGTGTTGCCGTTTCCCGCTGTGACCGTATGTAATCTGAATGCTGTACACAGGGGTCGGTTCTGTACGAACAAGAAGGTGGACAAACCGGACAATGTGGCCAAAATCCTGTGCGCCAACCTTGGTGATCTACTCGACTCCTGTGAAATATCAAAGGTCTGACCCGTTTTGTTGTTCAACTCATTCCCACTCTCCCTATCATTCGCACAGAATTCATGCTTTGAATCTTTCGCTCAAATAATCGAACGTTACTTTGATTTATAGCAGAAGAATATTCTGTTGAATAAAAGCATTCATTGAAAGTGCTGTAGAAATAGAATATTCTTATCGCAAATGAATGCTATTATAGTACTGCTATTAAGGCTACGCTATATTGTTTTTAAACCAAATAATTGCTATAAAAACTACAAAACATAATATGAATTAACAAATTGTGCGCCCATTGAATCAGATGCTGGAAGAGTTACTAAATAAGGGTCGCCTGTATTGCGGCGGTTCGGGAGCTAAAGCTAAAGAGTCGGTTAAAGTGAAGGATAAGCCGCGGGCGGGGACACCGCGACGGCAGCCAACGCTCGGCCGGAATCTAAGCTCTGGTTTTGGGCGACGGATCGGTAAACGACAGATAAGTTTGTCAGAAGTGGTGAAAACAGTGCGAGACGTCGGCACGTTTGTGAGGGGCGACGGCACTAAAGGGTCGGGAATCGGCGGTCTTATTAACGGCATTCAGGACACCGTTAAGTCTTTCTCAGAGGGCGGCGGACCCATGGATGGGGTCATCACTCAAATCGCAAATATTGTTGGCTTTAATATCAGTTCCAGCGCTGATATCGTGCCCTCACTATTCATGAAGGCCTTCACGGAAGTGACGGTAAAGTGTTTTAAGACAATAACGCGATTATTATAATCAGTGTTTGTATTGACAACACAGGGCTGTCGTCTCGGGTCGGGTAACGCCAAGAACGCTATGCCTGAGAAACTGCGGACAACGCTTTCAAATCTGACCGCAACTTTTACTGTAAGTTTAGTTTAATTTGTATTAAAATAATATTTGACATGCATTTCAACTACGTTTTTGTCTGCAAATTGGGTGACAGAGCGGTGGCTGTCTATTGAAAGCGCCGAAACTGATTGGACTCTTCCAAGAGATGTCCCAAAAGATGGCAAACACTGTAGCCAAGTGCACGTCTCCGTGGGTGGACTCACTCAAGGGTAGTGTCAATAAGGGTGAGACGCCGTGGTTTATACTGTTGGACATGTTGTCCTCCTGGTTGGCAGAGTTGGCTAAGAATGACCCGATGGAGGCCAAAGCCATAGGACACCAGAGCTCGCATCTGATCCAACAGTGCTATTTCGCCGGACGTCACTGTTATGCCACTCAAGACTTTTCAAACTTTTTCTATAACTCTTACGGCAATTGTTTTACTTATAATTTGCACTTAAATACTAATAAAACGATTAACAAAACTACTGGTGCCCTATCAGGTACTAGCGCTCATTACCATAATCAATAATTCCCTATAAATACTATAAACATAAGTAATTATCGTGTTTTCCATACGAAGGCTTCACTGGACCCAAGTTTGGACTGGAATTAACGTTGAATTTAGAGACCGATCAGTATATGCCGACCAGTCGTGAGGCGGGCGCTAAAGTAATAGTTCACGACTCGGCCACTCGAGCTGATCCCGATCAGGACGCGGTGCACGTTCCGCCCGGTTTGGTCACATATGTCGGCGTACGGCTCGTGAACATCACACGACTGCCCGCTCCCTATCCGGACAAATGCTCGGACGACTGGCAGGACCGGCAGTTGGAGCTCTGGGCCCAACATCTCAGTTACGACACGTACTCCACGCAGATATGTCTGAAACTGTGTCTCCAGAGGTTCACAATCAAACACTGCCAGTGCTGGGCCTCGTCATCGCCTCCGCCCCACACAGACGTCCTTCAGTGCAATACAAGGAATAATAAATGTGTGAATCAATTGATTCTTGAAGTCATATCTTAAGAAACCTTTAATTGGCATTCATTTATCAATTAAAATGTTTGTTAACTCTGCAGCTCAAGAGGAATGCACGGAACAGATCCGTCTGATGTACTACAACCAGACCATCGACTGTCAGTGTCCGCCGCGCTGTGAGGAAAGGACTTTCGAGAAGTTTGTGTCAACCGGCAAAGAGTTGCCGCAGTGTTCGGCCCTCTCCTCCCCCGGCAAAGAGGCCTCAGGCGAAGAGAAGTTAGTTTTAGTTCATTTTGCTATTAATTTATACTTTAATTTATGTAATTATGTTTATTTGTTACGGATTTTAATAATTGTTTAATGAATTTGTTTGCGTAGAGAAAACTTTGCCAAAGTTGTCATTTACTTTCAATCGTTAAGTTATCAGGAAATCAATCAGTTTCCCAAATATACGGTTAAGTATTGAAATTGATTTTTGTATTTCATTTATTCCATAACTGAAGGTTGGGTTTCGACTCTTTGAGCCAAACTTTTCAATCAATTTGAAAAATACAACAATATTTGAAAATTATTTTTAATTTCTCTGTTTTTGGATTGCAATACACAGTTGACGGCACTGTTGGGTGCAATCGGAGGTATTTTGGGTGTATATCTGGGCTTTTCATTCATCGCTATATTCGAGTTAATAGAAGTGATCAGTCGTTATGTCATGTGTTCATCGAATTCACCGAAAAAGAAGGACAAGAAATCTAACCATAAAAAGACTGACAATAATAAGAGTAATCATAAATCCAATCATAAAACCAATGCTAAGACTAAAGACAATAGCATTTGGTCGACGCCAACAACAAAGAAGGCGTTTGAATAAATTGTTTGTTTAATTGATGACTCATTTAACCATAAATTTAATGAATATATTTTAAATTATAATAATATTAATCAAAACATGTATTTTAATCAATGTTTGTGCGAATAAATGCAATTCTGAACGCAATTCAAAATTGTTAATAATTTCTAGAAATAAGTTCATCAAAATTTCAGTCGTTTGTAGTCTAAAGGGTTTTATTACAGAATTATGAAGTAATTACAAATTCAAACCATATTTAATTTCACATTAAAATCACATTTAAATTCACTTTATAAATGAAAATAATTAAAAATATTCAAAAATAACAAAATAATGATTTTTCATATAAAAACAATTAAAACATTTTTGATTTAAATGATAATAAATTAAAGAATGTAATGAAATACAGGTATTAAAAACCATATTAATTATGATAAAAATTAACTAAACGTGATGATCAATGTTGCCATTCCTGATGTGTCCGAACTGTAACTCAATCCTCAATTCGCCGAAATGAGAGGCCGGCAAACAATCGGGAATCCATTCGATCACAAACGGAATGGCCGTCTCTTTAGTCGAAGTGTCCGAACCGGAGGACGACTGCGACGAAGAGGGCGGCGCCGCCGCAGCCAAACCGGGACCTGACATGAGGCCAACCTTTAGAAAGGTCTTCAATTCGCTCGGTTTGATGAGTTGATTGTCATTTTGGGGCAAAACCAGAGCCGAGCCATCCATCGCTGTGTCGGAGAGGTCTGCGGCGGTGGCCGAGGAGTGGGCGAAATCGAAGCTGCCGTCTCTGTTCTGGACGAAGTGCTGCTCCAATGCCAGCGACTGTCGACTCGTGTCAAAGAGCTGTTTGACATGAGATATATTGGTTATCAAATACGTGTATTTAGTGAACGTTCCCAACGGCGGCCGGTCTTTGCGGGTAAACACTGTTGTCATATTCGGTAAACGCTTTTTCCGTAAACCAGTTGCTATTCGCTGCTGAAGACAATCGAAATAACCTTCAAATTGAACACAAAATGATTAGATTTCACTACAATTAAAAAGATAATTGGCATTCAATCCATTGGTTACATACACTGCGGTATACGCCAGACGAGCTGCTCTGGCTTTCCGCTTAGCTGGTAGTGCATCGTCTGATTGATCAGTTCCGTCACCGATGATAACCACTCGACAAAATTGATACTAATGTCCGATTCGGTGATAATTCCTCTGTCGATGAGTTTCCGGGTATGGATTGCGTCGGCGTTTCCGTTGTCCACAAGTGATGACTGAGTTTTGAGTTTTTTGTTGGGCACCGGAGAATCGCTATGAGTGGCCGCACCCGTATTGATCACCTCTTTATTGCTATTCGCCGATTGATCCGTACTATTGTGGCCGTCGTTTCTCGCGGAACCAATATCTGGTGTATGTGGCGGAGAAATGCATACAAAGTCTGGCAACTCTTTGACGATATAGTGGCGGAACTCTCGGCCCAAATCGGAATCGGAAGCGAAGGCACAAATGCACGCGTAATAGTGGACACACTTGCGCTCAGCCGACAACTCAAACCTGCTGTCAATCGTTTGGTCACTAACTTTATTGTTATTACTATTAATGGACTGATTATTAGCGCATTTGAATGCTTTGAAGGCTTTGCAAACGCATGAAAACTTCATCGGAAGGCAAACACCGGAGGAATGACTGGTGGCCTTAGACTTGTCGGCCGGTGGAGGCGATGTCTGTGCGAACCAACAGTGAAGATAACCCAAGGGTTGCTTATTATTGGCCTTACATTTGACAACCATTGAGGTGCGGGACACGCGTTGGACGAGCGGTCCGGGCGTATCAAATGCCAACTCAGCGATCTGTTGGCGCATATGATCGGTGATCGGCAGCCGATTCAAGACACTGTTCTTGAGGGCCACGGGTCGGGCGTCGGTCGCGCACCGGACCGAGTGTTTGATGTGAACGCACGACTCGATTACCGTTAGCCGTATATTCGTGGCGCTGCCGGACGACGAGGAGCCGGTGCGCTGGTGATGATGGTCTCGATGGTGATCGCGGTGGTGGTGATGGCCGTGCGCTGCGCCGCTGGCGGCCGCCGACGAGTCCCTGGGCTTTGTGGTAGTGGTGGCCGTAATCGGCAAAACCACTTTATGAGTGCCGCAAACTTCGACAAAACATCGAGCGGTGGTCTCAGCGATGAACTGTGGATTCAGCGACGGGTCGGACGTGCCGTCCAGACCGCGAATGATCGGCACCTCAACGAAGCCCCGATAGTCTGGCCCCCGATCGCGGACCCGAACCGAGTAGACATTGGATGAGTTGTTGGCTGTTATGCAACGAATGGACTCCAGATTAGCGATCGTCGACAGCGACGGTCCGCCCGACGCGTCCGCCGACTGCTGGTCGTCGCCTTTGGCGCCCGTTTTGTGGCCATTCTGTCGGCTGAAGACGTGATCGCAGGCCTTGTTCTTGCATTTGGTACCTCTGGTGCCGTTATAGACGTGACATTTGGGACACTTGCGGACACCGCGTTGAGTGGCCCGACCCAACCCCGTCAACAGGTGCCTAATGGCCGACGAAGGGCTACGGCTCATGGGATTGGTTGTGGCCACTCGTGTCGTGTGTCTTAACCGGTGATGTCTTTCAGTCGCAAACAAACAGTGGTTTGAGTTTTTTGTTTTGAATTTGGGTTTTGTTTACTCATAGAGAAAGCGCTCAACTCTTGTCCATCAATAATGTGTTCACACTTTGTGTGCGAAAAGGGACTCAATTATCGGTTCACTATTCGCATAGACTTTGTGTGAACACAAGTCCAGTATTTTTAACCAATAATTTGGTCCCATTTTATGGTTTAACTGTTGGCCTTAATTGTGGTTAACTCTTGCCGTTAACTGTAATTACAATTGAATTTTAAAATACTTATTAAAAACTATACAAAACAGACGCTGACATAGGCTTAGGGAAGAGACGGGTAGTGAGAGATGACAGTAACAGCAGCTGTAATACACGAGCAATCAATAAGATGTGTAAAATACAATCAAATTACATACAATTTACAAACAATTATCAGTTTTTATCAACGATTTTATTTAATTCTTTCATTCATTGATACAAATGAAGTCCAAAACATCAATTCATTATAAAAACAATTGAATTCTTCCGGATTTAGTCAAAGAGACCGAAACCCATGTCGTCGTCCTCTTCCTCCTCCGACTCGGGCTCCTTCTTCTTGTCCTCCTTCTTGTCGGCCGCGGGCGCCGCACCACCGGCTGCGGGAGCGGCGGCGCCGGCAGCGGGAGCCGCGCCGACACCACTGCCAACATTAGTGATTAATGCCTTCAAATCCACGCTCTCGAGGGCTTTGCTGAACAGCGACGGCCAGTAGGGCTCGACCTCCACGTTGGCGGCCTTCAGTATGGTTTGGATCTTCTCTGCGGTGACGGCCACGTCGTCGTCCTGAAGAATAAGCGATGCGTAAACGCACGACAGCTCATCGTTATTAACGGCCATATTATCTCTTCGGATGGGATCTGTTGGTGACAGAAGTAAGACTGTATGACTCGCCGAAGCCTTAGCTCAATGTGTGGTATTGAGGAGAAAACAGTATCACTTCACGGGTTATGTGTGGTTAAGACAGTTGTCTCACGATTTCAACGCGTTTTCTCACAAACACTACACAAAACGGAAAGGGAAGTCACGTGTCGTGTGTTATGGCATCGCTTGTGTCACGTGTGTTGGCCACAGATAGCGCTGTCATCGCATCTCTCCATACGTTTTGCTATGGATTTTGAATTGAATTTTCAATTTTGATTCAATTTCAATGGTTTTTGTGTTTTCGTTAGTTTTTCAATCTATAAATTGTATGAATAGTTAATTCAAAAGTTATTCGTGAATTAATAGGCCTTTTGTTTGATAAGCAAAGTATGCGATAAGTGTTGAATGTGTGGCACAGAGTTAGCTTAGCCATAGCGCAGCCATAGCACCGATACTAAGCCACTCCATAGTAACTGATAGTCCGCGTGGCCTAATGGATAAGGCGTCTGACTTCGAATCAGAAGATTGCAGGTTCGAATCCTGTCGCGGACGCTACTCTCTTTTTTATCAACTTTTTTTCTAAAGTTCTAGTTTGTTTTGTTTGTTTTAGTTTTGAAACTTTTTGAAACTTTTTTTTAAACATTTTAATTGTTTGAAACTTTATTTTGCGGTTTTTCTTGTTTTACTTGTGAATGTGTCCGTAAATGACAGGAAATAATTTGCTTATCAATAGGGATGGGGAGTGTGTGGTGTGTGTTGTGGAGTAGATCTTAATTATAGACACAGTCGGCGCGAATCATGTGATGAAGTGTTTGCGATAAATACCGGTATGAATTAGTTTTGAGGTATGAATTATTATGATTATGATAATACCATCTGTAGATCAGTTGATAGCACTCTATTTATAAGAAGCAAACCTTTTGTTAATTATTGTTTAACCAAAAAAGCAAATTAAAAGCCTTGTCTCTAATCCCCTATACATCTGACCCACTGTTCAAATACAATGGCTTTCAGTAGAGTTAACATGAATTTGACAGATGTTTGACTGCGAAAAACCGTTTGCATTAGTGGTAGTCATCGCTGTCTATGCAGACAGTGATTGGGACACAAAGACTGGACACCAGAAGAGTTGTGTGATTATCGTTATTGAAATTTAAGTGTTCAACAAAAAAATGTGGTAAGTTTTGCGGCACAGAAAAAATATTGTTATTTTCCTATGAATTTTCAATCCTATGCCCACACTCTCTGAGTCCCAACCCTTGTATAAAATGCATACATTATTATAACGGTCAGTAGACTCTCTCTCTCTCTCCCATGTATTTGCCTCTAAAAACACTTTTCTGAAGGCAATGAATAATAAAAACTCTTTTATCTTAACTGCCAAACTGTGTGAACACACAATAAATATAGGGAACAACATGACCTCACTTTTCAACCAGATTTCTGAGCCTATGGATAGAAAAGTCATGCCTCTCTCTCTCTCTCTCTCTCTCCTGAATGCAAAACAAAAAACACTTAAAGGTTAGGGAATAATGTTTTGGTGTAAAAAATGAAGAATTAATTCAGACCTCAATTCATATGAAAAGTCAATGTCTTGAAGAATATATATTTTTTGCCGCGAAAACAATTGCTATATATTTTGCTTTTGCTATTAATATATGTATGAAAATCGGAGTGAATTGTGTGAACAAAAGTGAATCAAAAATTATAATTTAGTGTATAATTATATTTTTGTAGCCAAATATTGGTTTCAATACACACTTATGCTAATACTTAGGCACAGAATCCCTTATATTATATCGTTATCTCCCGTTCCCTATATTTATTGTGTGTTCACACAGTTTGGCAGTTAAGATAAAAGAGTTTTTATTATTCATTGCCTTCAGAAAAGTGTTTTTAGAGGCAAATACATGGGAGAGGGAGAGAGAGCTAAGGTTTGTGAGTGAGTTTGTGTTGTTTGCACTGTTATGCTGTTTGGCGAGAGAGAGAGAGAGAGAGAGAGAGAGAGGCATGACTTTTCTATCCATAGGCTCAGAAATCTGGTTGAAAAGTGAGGTCATGTGTGGTATAGGAGTAGTAATAGTGAAGAGAGAGAGAGAGAGAGAGAGAGAGAGAGAGAGAAAAGGAGAGATAGAAAAGAAGATCTCTTATTCTGCAAACCGTATTCAACATTGGCTTACATTTCATTCACAAAAGTGTGTGAATTCAGTCGCACAGAGAGTCTGTGTGTATAAAGTGCTGGTGAAAGACCACTAATAAACGACACACACAACCACTCAGTGGTCCCACAAATGTGTTGTACAAATAGTACCGATATTTCAATATTTAATGTAATTGTAAATTCTTGTGTCCAACAGATATGTCCACACATTTCCCAAATGTTTTGCAAACTTCATTCATGTGTCGCCAAAAGTTTGTGAAATAAGTTTATCCAATATTATTGAAGTTATTCTTGTGATAATTGTATGAAAAACTAAAGTCAAACTTCTTTAACATATTTTGCCAAAACATTTTGTTTGCAAAAATCGTTTTCTCCAAAGGTTTTGTGCGAAACAAACAATTTTTGTGCAAAAATTCATTTTTCATATGCATTTTATGTGTGAATAAGTTTTTTAACAAAAAATATTTACCACATAATCAAAAACACAAACTTTTGCATTCCTGTCCGCCCGCTGTGTCTGCATTCATACCATCAGTTCATACCATCGATCGGCCCCCTCCTGATGGACAGTCATCTGTTTGTCGGTCGCTTCCAACCCATCCCAACCCAATCGCAAGCCATTGGCATCTAATCCAGTGATTATGAGACCACCGAAATTTCCCGGAACCGAAAAGTTTCGCTTCTCTGACAAGAAGTACGAAGACTTGCGTAAAAACAGCATTAATAACAACAGGGACTGTAGTAACGGCCCGACCGGTGCGGCCCCGACTGTCACCAACTTTATCCGAGGCATACCCTCTCGCAGTACTTGTCCGTCAAAGCCGTGCTCTTCCACATCGATGGCTACCTCTAGCGGTCATTCCTCCTCCACTTCGTCGTCGTCGCCGTTCATACGTTACGATTCAATACGTAAACCAATTTTCCCGATCAGTGGTCGCCTGTCCTCACGAGTGCTTACATTAACTCACTTACCATTGGATTCGTTTGACTTAAGGCAAGCGAACGCATGGAATACCAGCTTTAATGTGAGATATTCTCGCGATAACACGTCCAGACCTCAGTCCACAGTCAGCACCGGTAGCCGTGTGTCGCTGTTAAGCGATGGGAACAGTAGCTGTACGGCATCGCCGCGACTCTCACCGTCGTTGTCGTCGTCATCGCAGCCACAACTGCCCCACCATTCGGTGGACTACCCGTCCAAATGGGCCAAAAATGTGCACCGATTGTCCACATCATCCCAGTCTTCGTGCGGCACAACTGCCAGCAGTTGCGGCTACGATAGCTCTGAATCGGGCTTTTGGTTAACATCGCGCAAATAGTTTGGCACTAATTGTTTGATGTATTTGTAAATTACATTGTGTTTTATAAATTATAATTATTATTAAATACTTGTAATAATAATTTTAATGCATTTTTATTGTTTTCTCTATTTTATGCTATATTTATCTCTCAAATCTCTTTCTGTGAGTATAAAAGTATTTTACAAAATATTTATAACAAACATTTATTTTTATAATTAGAAATACTGTTTTGTATATAAATGTAATAAAAGTTAATTTAACTTAATTTAAGATTAATTATAAATATATATTTTTACGATGTATTTCATACAAACGGCTAATAATAATAAGTAATAATAAAATTCATAATTAATACCACTAATGGATAATAAATAACTGAAATAAAAAATACATTAAAAAAGTGTTTTCAAAATAATTTATGAAAAAAATTAGTTGTTTTAAACACGAAAATATATTTATAATAAAAAAACCAAAATATATTATACGCTAAACATTTCCGTTTAGATTTTATTATTGCTTTTTAACGATTATAAGTGAAATTAAAAAACAAAATTACAAATCTTTCAAAAGCTCTTTAACCAGTGTTTAGAAAAAATAACTTTTTAAGTATTTTTATTTGTATTCATAAAAAGCAACTTTCACTCAAATTTTGCATTTAAAAAGTGCATAATTTGCTGTAAGAAAACGCACACCGTTTGAGAGCTCATTGAACCAGATTTATATCGTTATAATAATCATAAATGCATAATATATTACCACTTATTATAAAATTTATTAAAATAAATTCATTTCCCAAACAAAACAGTTATTTTCAGTTTTTTACCCCCACTTATCAAATAACCCGTAGAGTCAGTGGTGCGGATGGGGTCGGGTGTATATACACCAAATGCATGTGTGTGTAAATTGAAATGATAAATATAACCATAGTAAGTTTGTCTTTCAACATATTTACCCAAAATATATACTCAACACCAGAAAAAAATACAAAATTGTATAAAAGGTTTTTGTAATATTGATTTTAAATCTTATGCCATTACAACAGCCCTCCCACTCCTTGACCCCCATGGCATCGCACACTAAGACCCTGCTTATACACGACCGTAAAAAATAACTTACATGCTTTATGTGGAGAGTGGGGGTAAAAAACTGAAAATAACTGTTTTGTTTGGGAAATGAATTTATTTTAATAAATTTTATAATAAGTGGTAATA